CCCTCCGCACATCTGCTCCCAGATAATGTCCTAATAAACCTGGAAACATGAACACCTCTCTTCTCAATTGAGACGGAGCTCAGCTCAGGCACATCGGCGGGCCGCTCAATTTACCCCTCCAACGCCCGGAACCGAGCTGTGTGCTGCTGGCACTCAGACAGACGCCAGGCCCCCACAAAAGTTTGATTTCATGGACAATTAAACAGGGTCTCCATGCTGAATGAAACTGTCACTCACGGGCCCCAGATTTCTGGTTCCACTAACTCACGCAACCAGCAACGTGACTGTCAGCCCGCAGCCCCGAGCAAAGGGAGGTCTGTGAGCTATTTATTTCTTAAACACTGCCTTTTCTCTCTGTGTCAGTGGTCAGTCTCCATTCGAAATCTAACTGAAGCAGTGGGGTTCAAACACGAGGCTAAATACCTTTGAGGAAAAAAAAGAAAAAAAAAATCACTTTTTATCTGATCTGGTTTAAGGCAGGAGATAAAATGAGATGAAGGTCTAGAAGCAAAGGGTACCTATGTCCGGAAGGAGGTGGGCACCGGGCAGCTGTAAGGACAGGAGGAAGTGCCAGGCCGGGAGGTTGGATTGGTAGTAGCCGCCCGCCTGCCATCCGCCTGCCGCATTTGCTGACTTGGGGATTTCCATCGGTTTTAAACCTTTGGAATAAGGCTGATTTTCTTCTTTGTTCAACCGAAAAGTCCCAGCGCCAAAGATGGAACAGGAACAAAATGAGCAGGGAGATGCAGACAGATGTGTGGGGGGGCGGTGGGGGGGCGATCGGGGCCTGGGACCAGGGGCCTGTCCTCTGGCGGGCCAGCTCTCCACTCCGGGCTAACCACACTGTTTGTGAAAAACGCTGCCTGCGCCGGGTCCGTCCTAAACATGAATTTCACGGCTGCTCCGGAGAGGAAAATATATTTATAGTTCCTTTAGTGCCATCCCAGCCTATTGTGTAAATATGTAAATTTGGTTTCGTGAGCTACACAATAAAATGCCTTGGGATAATTTGTGTAAATAAATCATCTGCATAAGCCCACTGCACAGCTTCCATGGCCTTCCAGGGAACTTTGTGACACTGACTCAGAGGAAACATAGCACAACCTGAGACGTGCCTCTTTCGCAAGGCTGTCCTTGGCTCCGCGTGCTCACTGACCGTCCTTCCTGGGAAGGAGAGAGTCCACGTTCTGGTCCAAGACACTAATCTCCTAGCTGCTGTCAGGTGGGCAGTGGGGCGACCCCACAGAATTTGCAGGGGTTACCGTGGCAGTGCAGGAAAGGAAAAGGCTGTGTTGCCACCTGTCCCCATCTGCCCCCACCTGCACCAGCCCGCTGGGCGCCTCGTGGCACCAGCCACTAAGCTGACGAGCTGCCTGCCTCCCTGGTGCAAGGTGGAGACTTGCCTGGGCGGGGAGATGGCAGATCCGGCAGACAAGTGGCTCCGGCTCCCCAGACACGTGGTGGTAGTTACCCGTGGGGGCCAGGTGGACTCCATCAAAAATAAGGCCTCCTCATGACAACCTGGGCCCATCTCCCAGATCCCCACTCCCCTCGGAAACCACTCCCCTGCCTGGAGAAAGTCTTGCCAGAGAGCTGCGGTGGAGAAAATAAGATAGAGCGTTTAATGTTTTGTGTAATGAGGCCTGTAATAGATGACAGCTGAGATCCAAAGCCCTAAGGCACCAGCAAGGTGTTTAAATATTGACAATCCATAAAAGCATTTCATTTGCCTCTGAGTTGCTGCTGGCCTCTGTCACGGGAGGGAGGAGGCACCCCTCCGTGGGGAGACGGCGAACCCCACGGCCACTCTGGTTTGGTCCACAGTACGAAAGGGGAAATTGGGGCCAGAAGAGAGCAGGAGTGAAATCTTCAGCGCTCATGGAACAAGACAGCATCTCACAGGTCAGCCTCCTTTTGCATCTTGGTCCCCGGGGGCCAGTTTCCTCATCGAGGCACCAACTGACGGAGCTCAGGGTCCTGCCGATCTCTGGAGGCGTCCACCCGGCCAAGGCCCTTGGGGAGTGAGGCTCAGTGCGAGACCTAGCCCCGCGTCCTGGTTGGCTCTTCACACCACCGTCCAGACTGCCCAAAGCTGTGCTTCTTCCAAAAGGTCACCTGCTTCCTTCTTTAGGGTGGATGGAAGTTATGCTAACCCCATGAGAAGCCTGAGAATCAAAACCTCCCCTTTGCTCAGAAAATGCCAGAATATGCTCTCCTCTGCTAGGATTCTGAGCCCATGAAGCCGTGTCTGGCTGCTGACGTGGTCCATTCCCCATGCTGACCTCTGACGCAGAGACGCCCTTTCCAAAGATGTGCTGTTGCCCTTGACTCCTTAGGACACCATCGTGGGATACATGTGTGTGTGTGTGTGTATATATATATATATATATATATATATATATATATTTTAATCTTAAGCTGAGCTTTTTTTGAGGTAATTGTAAACAGAATCGCACGCAGTTACGGGAAATCACACAGAGAGAAACCATGTGTCCTCTCTCTGGTGTCCGCCAATGGGATCGTCTTGCTGACACAGCCCAGACACGGAGCATTCCCGTCACCCCAGGCACCCCACTGTGGTACTCTCACAGCTGCTGTATCGGCGCAGGGTCGGGGGGTGATGGTCCTAACATTCTAGTCAGGGGGTGATGGTTCTAACATTCTAGTCAGGTCCTAACATTCTAGTCAGGTCCTAACATTCTAGCAAGCCCTCGGCAGAAGGAGGGGAGCTGGCAGGGGTCCGCTGTGCATGTGTGTCCTCTAGTACGAGGCCTCTCACCTTTTCTCGGGCCAGAGATCCCATTGGCAGCCTGCTGACTCTGAAGGGACACCTTCTCCGAATGGCTTTAGTTGCATAAAACATGAAGGGAAGCCAGTTATGCTGTTAATACTTGTAAGTACCTAAAGGTGACCGAAGGTTCCCAGCAGCACCGTCTCCCCAGACTGCGGACCATGTGGGTCACGGGGGGGTTTCGTTGGGTGACGTGTTGGGCTACGTGGTTCTCTGGAAGGCAGGTGCAAAGGCCTGGATTTTGGGGGGCACTGTGATACCAGGGCCGTGCTAGGTGATGAGGCCCGGGCAGTGTTCAGACGACGAGGGAAGCCATGCTGCGAGGCGCCCGCGAGGCCGGGATGGGATGGGAAGCGGCGTGACTTCTGTTGCTGCCAATTCCGCAGGCTCTTCAGCTACGTCTGTGGTTTCTTACCTACTGTGGGGGGGTTGAATGGTGTCCTCCCAAAATTCACGTGCTCAAGGTCTGATCCCCAATGTCCCAGCATGTGACCTTATTCAGAAATAGGGTCTTTGCAGATATAATTAGTCAAGACGAGGTCTTGAGGGGGTGCCTAACCCAGTATGACCGGTGTCCTCATAAAAAGGAGACAGCTGGGCACGGGGATAGAAGGGCGCACGGGGAGAAGGCAGGGATGGGGGTGAGGTCTCCACGAGGCAAAGAATGACCTAGACTGAGAGCAAACCACCTGAAGCTGGGAGACAGGATGAAAGAGACACTCCCTCATGGCCTCAGAGGATCCCCTTCCCCCGTCACGCCCTGCCCTTGCCTGCCCAGCCTCCAGACGGAGGCAGGACCTGCATGTGGGGGAAGCAGCCCAGTGTGGGCCCTGAGGCTCCGGCAGCCGGAGTAAGTGAACGCGCCTGTGCTCACGAGGCAAGGACAGGCTGGGTTTCAGTTAGGGGTCAGTGATGTCCACGGATCTCAGGAATTCTCAGGAGCCCCTTGCTGGGCCTGAAAACTCACAAAGCTACCTTTGCAATGAATGCTCTCCCCAGATTCGGGGAGAAAAGCATCGAGTTGCTTCCTTGGGGTAGGTGCAGCCCCCATGGCCCTCAGCTGGGCCCAGACCTCACCGGGCCCGTGTTTGAAGGTCTTAAAGTATCAGAAAGTGCTTGGGAATCCTATGTCCTCAGCGGGGCACCTGCTGTCTGCTCTCGGGGCTGCCTACTTTCAGAGCGACAGGCTGGTAGGGGGCCCAGTGGACGCAGAAGGCCCGTCACCGATTCGAGACCCCTGCTTCCAGAACAGACCAAGTGCCTTGTTCAACACAAGCTCCCAGGACCCCTTGGGTGGACGCGCTGAACATGCAAGTGCTTGAGCCAAAGAATTTTTCATATCGCCCTTAAAGGATGCTGTTTTGGTCTCAGGCACCAGATTTTCTACTTAGGACTTTCTGGGAGGGGCTTGCGACTAGTCATCTCCCAGAAGCAGTTTGGCGGGCAGTCTGACACAGGGACAAATGTGACCCCGCAGACCTTCCCTCTCAGTCCAATGGCTTCTTGAACCATCCGACTACAGTGATGCCCAGCGCCGTGGGCGGGCTCAGGCGATGAGCTTTCTGCTGGCAGCCCAGGCGCACCATGGGTTTTCAAGCTCAGATACGATTAAATGTGCCGCCCTCTGAAGGTCATGGTGGACGTGCTCTGTGTTCTCTGTGTTTGGTGACACCCTCTAGCTCCAAGGACTAATGACTGGCTCAGCGCAGCAGAGACGGATTTTCCGATAATGTCCGTGCGTCGTTATTACCGCTGACTGGGAGGGAGGGAGCGAAAACCCTTAGGGCGGACAGGGCAGGGAATAGACCTTAAACCTCATTTTCAGGAGCCTAAAGATGGGGCACGCGACGGGTGGGCTTCACTGTGATCAGAAAGGAGTGGGGCTCAATTGGGTACAAAGACGCAGAGCCCGAGATGAGCCCCTGGAAACACTCTTGGATCCCACCACGAGCAGAAGGTATGTGCAAGTGTCCCTAAGTTTGTACGTACGTGTTTCTGAGGATGACAACGACCACGCCTCTAGGGACGCGCGCTGTGGCAAAACACGGAGACTGTCATGCCCGCGAGGTGGCGGAGCAGAGGGAAAGATGTGACTAGCGTTTCATTGAGTTCCCCTCATGTCCGTGTTGTTAGGGAAAGGCTGCGAGGAAGCCGAAGGCTCGGACTCTCAGGCTCCCAGCTTGACAGGTGTCCCGGCCCCACCCCTTACCTGAGGGCCTGGCCTCGATGACGTAGCCAGTGGTGGGCGTCCTGCCTGCGTTCCCCTCGGTCCACTGCAGGGTCAGTTCGGAGGCTGACTTGGTGACCAAGACATCTCTGGGGGACCCTGGGGAACCTGTGGGGTAAAAGAGACAGGGGAGGGTGGAGATTGGCACTTGGGGGGGCTCCTCATCCCCCACATGGGGCCTGCCCTGTCCAGGCTCTGTCTGCTTCTCCAGGCAGATGGCTTAGCCTTGCCTGGTCACACTCTGCTCAGCCCAGATGTGGGAAGGCTACAGTGGCCTCACATAAGGCCAGTGGTGGGCCAGATGTGAACAGAGACAAGCCATGCAACAGGCCCAGGACTGCGCCTGGCACGCGGTGGGCCTGCTGTGAACCTAGATCCTGTCGCCCTCGCCTTGCTAAGAATGTAAGCAAAGGCCAAAATCGTTTCAGTGGGAAGCTCTGGGGCTTCTTCGCACGATGTGAACACTTCACACCTCTTTTGTATATCTTATTTCCAAAATTCACTAATTTGGGGGGTGCCTGGTGGCACAGTTGGCTGGGCTTTTGCTTTTGGCTCAGGTCATGATCTCAGGGTCGTGAGGTCGAGGCCTGAGTCGGGCTCCATGCTCAGTTCTGCCTCCAACAAAAGTAAATAAATAAACCTTTAAAAAATTCACTTGTTCCTTCCAAGGCTTTCCAGAAAATGGCCCCGAACATTACGTGTTTAAGACCTAGGAATTTGCTCATCTCTGTTTAACAAGTCCATCTGGAGAGGTTGGTGCTGGCACGAGCTTTGGAAGATAACCCTGTTGCTGAAAGATCTCTGTGTTTCTGCCGCTCTGGGTGGTGGGCCACCACCGCCCGGGCTGCTGTGAGGACAGGCCCATCTGGCACGGCAGTGGACGCGGGGCCCTGGGCGGAGCTCCACTTACCCTCCGCTGGCCCGGCCGTGACGTTGGCTTGCAGCTCGGGCCCGTAGGCGATGGTCCGTGCCTGCACGCGGAAGAAGTAGGTGACTCCCTTGGTGAGATCGCGCACCTTCAGCCAGCGGCGCCAGTTCCCCTTCACGTCCACTGTCACCACCTTGCTCACTCCTGCAACCACCAAGAGAGAGCAAAGGCCAGGAGGGGTCTGAGGTCAGAAGCGCCAGGAGTACCACCCATGTTGCCATGAAAACAGTGATGGTGGCCCCAACTTGCAAAGGAAGGATTTCTTACAATTAGGAGGAGTTTAAGTGGTGGTAATGGCCAATTTTCAGCACAGATAAGTGTAATTAGTGTTCAAGTCTGATAAGTGGTGCTAGCAAAGGGAAGAGCCAGCCTCATGGGGTGACGCAGGGAGGGGGCCCACGAGTCCCACCTCATGCCGGGGAGGCTCCCCCCCCATCCTCCCGTGCCGGGGTCAGGTTCCCCTCCCCACGGACTCAGAGCCACACAGGCTCTGTGTCGCTTGTGTTGGTGACTCAGAGCTTCCCAACTCCGGAGAAGAGAGCACAAAAGAAGATGGGCTTCCCCTAAAAGCAGTCTCCAGCCGGACTGGGTTGGCCAACCTGTGGCCTAAATGCCCCCCAGCCACAAGTGAGAACTTGGTCCTTGGACTTGGAAGCAAGAATGAAGAAAGACCATCACACCAAATATCGAAGCCCTGATTCAAACTAGGAGGACAGATAGACAACAGGTCATGGACATAAATGAAGTGAACATGTTGTTGGCTGTATTCTGTGTACTGAGAAAATCAAGATTTAACATTTGGGGAGGAAGACACATAGTGAAAATTATATGACAGCGTTTTCCTGGACAGAAATGGGGCTCCCTGGTTAAATAAGTTTGAAGATGACATGTTAAAAAAAAGTCTCGTAAGCTCCAAGGTCAGGATTTCTGAGAACTTTCACCCCATGCGTGTCTATGGGGTGTCCCTCGGGGAGGAGGAAAGGGCGCCCTGTTCTGACATTAGCCAGCAGAGCTGGCCAGGAGAGCAAACAGACTGTCCAGGGTGGCTGCGGCCGGGCCTGCCCTCTGTGTGGATGGCTGGTGCTGTCCCCACCCTTCATCCTTGTGTAGCCTTGAACTCAGAAGAGCCCCACAAAGTGTGTTCTTTACTACAAAACGGGTTCACCCTTCAAAGTCGTCAAAGCCAATGTCTCTTGTCCTACAGTTGTCCCAGTACCTTCTGGCTGGTTCACTGTTTTCACACCATGCCTTGTACAGAACATTGATTCAGCTAAATGAGTCTCTTCCAGACTATTTCAGAAGGATTTTTACTGTGTTTGAGTGACCTCTGAATCTGAGGTTTCTGGGTCATTTCTGCCCTGAGAGGCTGCCCTCCTCACCTTACATGACTCAAGAAAGGGGTTTCGGGATGACAGTTTGCACACACAATGACCATCATTGTAAATGGGTGGGATCTTCTTGGATATAAAGTTATTCTGCATAGCAGCCCCCCTTTTTAATTAACAAACGCCTTCCTTTTCCCCAGAGCAGAAACAAAGCCATGTGCAGATTTTGTGAATTCCATCCCACTAGGAGGTAGAGCTGGTCCGACCTCCCCTGCATTTCAACGATGTCAGAATCTTATTTATTTAGTCAATTTTTAAACCGTGCCCTGCACTACAAAGCCCTGGGGTGCAATCACATAAAATACTACCGTTTAAAACATTAAAAAAAAAACCCATAAAAGTAGCTCTGCCATAAAATCCGTTCCCCAAGAACATGGCTCAGGCTCTGCGTGGCTTGGTGCTCCCCACCGTGACCAGGGGACTGGCCCTGGGGAGGCGGGATGAGGCGGGCCCGTCTTCTCGATGGAGTGACCCCCGGGGCCCACTGGCAGGGGGAGGCTGCTGGGCTTTCTGCCGCCTTGGCCCGGGCTGGTGAGTTTGCCTGCGCAAATCCCAGGGACCACCCAGCGCCTGGGCCAGGAGGCAGAAAAAGCAGTCGGTAGAACCACCACTACTCGACACCACCATTTCACAGCCTCCCCCATTCTTGATGGCACAGACGCGTATAAACTCACACGTCATGTCTTCTGCGATCTTCGCAAGAGGGCCGGCATTCCCGCAGAGTTCATGGGACTCTAGCCCTCCAGGAAAGATGCCTGAGGTTTTCATTACATTGGCCATGCCATCTCTGGGGCATTGGGAAGAACCAGAAATTGTTCAGAGACCCACCTGCTACTTTGATGATTCCCTGTTGGAAATCTGGATCCAACGTGAGGGCAACAGGGGTTGGGTTTCTCCAGGAGACCCCCACTCTAGGGCCCCGCACACTGAGCAGTTTGGCCAGCTGCTGCCCTAGGGGAGGGGACCCAATGAAGACTTCCTGGAGCCACAAGAGGAGCCCCCCCACTCCCGCCTGCCCCCGGGAGAGATGGAGCTGGGTATGGAAGTGGGACAGTGAGGGCTGGACGAGCCTGCCAGAGATGCAGGGCAGTCTGACCTCAGCAAGGCACAGGACACCGAGCTGTGTGTTCGTCATCACTGCCTTCTGTTCAGCCCCTCTGGCCTCATCCCTGAGCATCTGGTCCTTTTCTACTACATAACAACACACATCATCCCATGTGCAACTGAAGTTCCTCTTGCCCCTCGCCAGCCCCAGGTCAAAATGCCCCAAAGGACCTAAGGCTAGAGAGAGGTCACGGGCGAGGCTCTGCCCTTTCCTGGCCAGTGTTCTCTGCCAGGACTGGTGGCCGCGGTCTGGCCAAGCCAGGGATTCTGGCAGATGCCGTCCGACCAGGTGGGCTCACAGTGACACTGATGTTAGTGGGGAGCAGGGGCACCCCAGAAGGTCACAGGGTCAACCAGGGCAGCACAGGGGTGGTGAGCTCTGCTCTTTGGGAAGAGCCCGTTGGCTGGTGGCCAGGGAAGCTGGAGGACGGGGGGACGACGGGCGTGGCCCATGGCTGGCCTCACCCCTGGCTGGAGCAGGGGTTAGTGCTGTTTCAGGATGGGGTCTGCAGTTGAAACGGAGGGTGCTCTGATTCGTGGAAAGCCTGGAGCTCAGCGGCAGCTTTGGTGTTTCCCGTCACCAGCCCCAGGCCTGGGCCAGCCACGTGACGGAGCAGGAATCATGGAGTCTGGGATGTGCCCGAGCCACTGATGTGGTCCAAGTTTGGGAGTCTGGACAGTTTGCTCGCGAGTGCCCCGGGGACCCGAGGAAGCTGTGAGCCCCGAGATTCTGGAGAAATGCGTGAGCTGCCAAGCTCTCCTCCTGCCCTGACTTCAGAGCAGATCACGCTCACTGCCCGAGGCCAGGAAGATCCAGGTGGGCAGAACCAGCCCTCCTGACACAGAAGAGACGATGCCGGTGACCCACAGTCTTATTACGTGTGGGAAGAGGCAAAATGGTGCTTCCAAGTGACTCCACGTGTTGTCACTCGAGGGAGAAGGGCAAGTGCCACAGGTGTCCGGGAAACGCTTTGATGACCACTTGGCACGCTCCTCTCTGCGGCCTTCACGCATGTTTACTTGCAGAAGTGCAGGCGTTCCAGACGTTTCCCCATCATGGTGGCTCTCGAACCGGCCTGCCCCAGTTCAAACCCCTCGCATGTCCGCAATACCCCCTGTAGCCCTGGGCGGCCATCCCAAGGGCTCGAAACCTGAGTTCTAGGGAGACGTGAGTAAAAGCGGCCGCTGCACCCTGCAGCTGTGGGAGGACGCGGACCAGTGCGTGCAGGTGCTTCACAAAGGCCCCGTCTGTAGAGTGAGCTGCGCCATCGCACCTACGATCACGGGCATGCACGTGGGGCCGTGTTTACAGGGAGCACCGAGAAGCCACGGGTCAGTCGCGCACGAGGGACCGGAGTCATGTGAGTCTAGCTGCGTCATGTGAGTGATGCCATGTTGCCGTGGTTGCTGGACCACAACACTGACCACACCAGGGAAACCACATGCAGGATCTTATCCCTGGAAGGTGAGGCGAGGCCGTGGGTTCAGGCACATAGAGAGCCAGCGGGACTCTGGGACATCGGGACAGCGGAACTCGGGGGACAGAAAAGCAGGGCCTGCCTTGGCTCGCGACCAGGCGGGGACAATGGCCGTAGTCTTGCTTGGACAGCAAGTACTTTTTTACAAGACTCGGGGAGCCATCCTGGGCACCAGGTCCAGGGTTGCCTGCCATGGAGTTTCTAGAAATTCTGCAAACCCATTACTGCCCTGATTTGGAAAAGCCACGTATCTGAGGGAGCACAGGCAGACTCAAGGTCTTGGTGAGGAGGTCGTGAATCCTGGTGATCCTTTCTCCTTTGCGTGGCACTAGTGTACAATGTCTGCAGCTTGGTCTTACGCCGTGAGTGTGTGTGCATGTGTGTACACACCTGGGCATATGTGTACACAGTACTGGGCAACAGGATGGACGGTGTCCAGCGGCTCTCTGCCCTTTGTCCAGGCACTACGAGCACGCACAGATGTCTGGCTCCTTCTGATTTGTGCCACTGGGACCCTGACCCCCGCCACGCCCCGGCCACCTGGTCCCCAGACAGGCACCCGGGTCTGAAAGGCACACAGCAGGTGTGACTGGGCCCCCGCGGGGCCAGGGCTGTGCCCTCTGCCATTCCCGAGCCACATGCCTGCCCGGCCTCTACGATTATTCAGCAAAGTGCATCAACCGTGTGAGACTCTCGCTGCATGTTTTTGTGTCTCTGATTTGGGGTTGATGATGCAAACGTACCGGGCCGCTGTTTACTGCAAGCATTTCTTCTTTCCTAGCACTTCATAAAATAACAATGAATCTTATAGTCAATAATGGCGTTTTAGATTCGATGACATAAAATCTCATGCTTAAATTTTCTTCAAATCAACCCCCTGTTTTACTTGAATGTACTTATTCTAAAAGGAAACTTTTATCATGGCTTTAAATGGAGTACCAATATTATTTGATGTGTTGGTTGTATTTTTTCCTCCTAGACATTAAATAATCTGTAATGGTTACAGTCTGGTGGTATGTCTTACCGGGGCAGCCAGCCCTGCGCTGGTCTCCCTTTTCTGGCCCGGTGCTGGGCACACAGCAGACGAGGAACAAAGTCTGTGGGGCTCTCCGAGAGCACGTCAGCCATTAGTGGGGAGGAGTGACAGGTATGAGAGAGATTATGGCAGTGCCAGAGAGTAACACAGCAAGGACACGGCTGTGCCCCTGAACAACCGAGCCCATGGCTACTCCCTTCACTTCCCTCGCTAGGCGGTGGGCAGTCTCCACCGCAAACACACACATCCCCCACCCCCACTCCTCACCCCCCAGACCCCCAGTTCCAAGCCCCTTGCCAGGTGCTGCAGCGTCGCTGGTCTTCCCAGGCCCGAGCCTCTGTGCTGGGTCACGACCCCTTCTCCCCAGAAGCTTCTGTATCTTCTTTTTCCATCTCAAATTCATCTTTATGCCTTTGTCATTGGGTCTCTCAGGCTCCTCTGTGTGCAAGTGTTTCCTCTGCTCTCCTTAGAGGGTCTGTGCTTCTGCTGATTGATCCCTGGAAGTGTGAGGCTGATCAATAAATCTTTTCATTCCACGGCATTGAGACTGTGGTTGTAGCCAGAGGGGGGCCTGGTGTGTGTGGGCCAGACCCTCTTGGGCCCTGCTGCTTCGGCCCTGGTGACATGGCCCTGGTGACCGGTCCCGCTGCTCTCACGTGACCTCCTCCCCACTCCTCAGGCTTGGCCTCAGGACCCTGGGCCCCAGCCCAAGTGGCCCATGTGCAGTGGAGCTTCCCCGGGAAGGCCTTCGCCTGGGGCTGTGAGCTCGGTGCGCCTGGGTCCTCCCAACACTGGTCACCCTCACATCGCGGACCGTTTGCGGGTGTGTTGCTTCTCTCCTCACTGGAATACAGACTCATGGACTCAGGGAAGGAAGGATCTTGATAAACAGTTGGGTGAGGACCCCTGCTTCCCTGGTTCTGTGCGTTCCCGCATCTAGAACAGTACTTGGCATGCAGCAGGTGCTTAATAAAGACTCGAGGAAATGAATGCGTGAAGGGTGTTAGCAGAGACACCTCTGAGGACGCTGGGGGCTCAGCGCTCCTCCTAGGATGCCCATGGAAGCTGATGGGCCTCTGTGCTCCCTGTGGTCCTAACAAGTGGTGCCCTGGGGACGCAACAGTGACAGGAGAACTTGGGTCAAGGGGTGAAGGTCAAAGTTGTTTCATCGTAAGTCAGTCGGGAGAGGGCTGTGCTGGAACCCAGAGCGTGGGGCTTCTGGTCCCGGCCCCGCCATGGCTCACAGGCCTCTTGAAGTCAAGGATGCCCACTGTCAGACTAGGAAGTGGCGTGTGTGCCCCAGTGAGGCCAGCTGTCCCCGCGCTCCCCTCAGGCCTCACCTTGGACTGGTGCTAAGGGCTCATAAACCACTCGGTAGCCCTGTAGGACGCCGTTGGCTGCTGCCGGTTCGCCCCATGAGACGTTAAGCGTGGTAGAGGTTATTTCTGAGAACGCCAAAAAGCTGGGTGTCCCGGGAGCTGGAGGAACAGAGCATAAAGGGACTTTCAGTCAGGCTGCTTTATTGGTCATTTACATCCACGTCTATGCCTCCGCATAGGATAAAAGGGTTATTAGATGTTATTTTCAACTCAGTAAGTCTCCACTCTCTGGAATGAAAAGATTTATTGACCGTCTCTGAACTTCCCAGGATTAATCAGAAACTGGGACCCTCCTGAGAAGAGCAGAGAAAATGACAGGGTTTAAACGCAAAGGAGCCTGAGAGACACAGTGACAGAGGCGTAAAGAGGAATAAGACAGGCAGACGCAGAAGGAAAGGCGGATAGCTTCTGGCTTTGGTTCCAGCAACTGAGGCCGCTGGAGGCCCCGCTCACCTCCCCTCCCTCGCCTGTGGGTGCAGGGGGGCCCTCTGGAGCTCCACCTTGGGGCTGGGGAGGGGGGCCCAGCCAGCCACTCTGGGCCGGAGAAGCTGCCTGTGGGCCAGGAGGGCCAGGCATGGGGTCAGGGACAGAGCCTGCTCCCCGCCCCCCTCCCTGGGTTCTGTGGGGCCTGTTGGGGTCCAGACTGATTCCCAGAATCAGCACATGTCCTCTTGGTGCGCTCCCACCAGTCACCCTGTGACCTGCCAAGTCCTCGGTACCCTGGGGAGTAACAGATGACCCAGCTTGGATTCCCGGCTGCTGGCTGAGGCCCTCAGGAAGCCACCCTTGCCCGTTGGCCAGTCATCTCATGGGAAGGACACGTGATGCTCGGGAGTCCCCGTCTCCAGGAGATGAAGCACCTGGTAGGGTTTACTGGCTGAGCGCACGGACTGCCGGGAGCCCGGTGCAGGACTGGTCTCCCTGGCTCTCCTGGCCTTACATTTCCTGGGTCCCACACATGAAGCACCTCTCAGAGATCCCCAGGACCAGCTGCATTTCCTGGGAATTCCTGACCACTTCTTAAGTTTTCCAGGCTGCTTGGGAAGCTGAGAAGTGTGGGAGAATAAGGCTGGAAACACTCTGTGTGTGGGGACGGGGCGGCAGGCAGGGTGACCCCCGGCCTCACAGAGTTCTTGGGCCCGGCTGGTAGCAGGAGTCTGGAAGGTGGCAGGAGCCATTTCCAGTGGTCTGTGGCCTGGAAACCCGGGGAGCACCTGATACTGTGGCCTGGGATCTGTGCACAGGCGCTGGTCTCCCAGTGGTGTGGACGTGCCAGGGCTAAGACCCCAGTAAGAATCTCCCTGAGGGAACCTGACGGAGGCCTGGGTACAGACGCAGAGTCTGCCTGCCCTCCGCGATCCTAGAGGGTCCCAGGGAGAACACGCACCACTCGAATCCCTCTCATGGGTACTGGAGGCCGCCACACAGCAGGCGGAGGCCAGGCCCTGAGGGAAGGAGATGAACTGAGCCCAGGCCTGCCTCTCCAGAAAGCGCCCAGCACACAGCTGCGTGTTACAGGTCAGGCAGAGCCGAGAGCAGTGGGGACCGCTGTTTCAGCTGGGTTTGGGGGCAACTATAGGTTTGGGGGCGGAGGGGTGCCCAGCGGAACCCCGGGGGAAGGAAACACATTGTGCTCCTACCGGCCTGATGGGTGCGTCCCTGCCGGGGGTCACTCTGCGGCCCGTCTCCCGCCGCGTTGAAGGCGGAGATGCTGACCAGGTACTGGGTGTGGCTGGTCAGGTTCTTTAGCTTCAGCACAGTCTCTGGCAGGAACAGGACCTTCATCTTCTCTGTTTCATTCTGGCTCTCTGCCTCCCAGTAGTAAACCTGTTGGCAAGAGCCAAAGGTTGGAGGCAGGCCGTGGGGATGGGGTGGCAGCCCCGTTTTGGAGCTCGTGGGGGAAGAGGCAGGCCCAGTAGGCAGGACTGTGGGCCTGAGCCCAAAGCCCCTGGGTGGGGCCACACTGTGGCTGGGAAGGCAGAGAGCAGGAGAGAGGGAGGTCTGAGCCAGGGTCAGGCAGGGGTTCCTCAGCTGCTACTACAGTTTGGGAAGCCAGTAATTTGTGTTTCTGAATTGTCCTTCCAGATTTGGAGCTTTGCCTAACTGATCACGGAAGTGGCACTTTCCTCCAGTTCCCCGTGAATGCCTTCCCCCTTCCAGAGCTGGGTGCTTTTGTTTATGGCCTCTGCCCCATTCCTCAGTCTTCTGGACAGGAGGAGACTGGCCGTATCTGTCTCTGCTCCAGCCTGTGCAGACAACCCGAGCCTCAGCCCTGTGCTCCCACGGCAGGCCGACACGTGAGTCTTCAATCCGCGTGGCACGAAAAATAGCCAGGGGAGAAACCAGGTTGGGCTCAGCACTGTGGGGAAGGCCCCGTGCTTCTCCCAGATGTATTTCCCCTCCCCTAGCTCATATGTGCTCCTGGGCAAGTAGATGCCCGAGTACAATGGCTGGATGAGGTGTCCAGGATCGCTTTCCTGGACAACTGGCCGAGGACCGCCGCTCTGTGCCAGTGCCAGCCCGGCTGCCCAAAAACAACACCCATTCATGGATCCACCTTGGCTCTGCGGGCTGAAACCCAGCCAGGCCTTTAGAGCCGCTGGCCCACAAGGCAGCCGGCTGCAGGGCCAGGGAGTGCCTCCCGCGTGGGTGCGCACCCTGACCGCGGGCACTGCCGACTCGGCCCGGCGGGGGCCAGCCTCTGCTCTCCCAACTGCGCACATCCGATCCTGCACTTGGTCAGGCCTTACTAACTTGAGATCAATACCCAAGTTCAATGTCTTTATCATTAAGGAAATTAGAAAACATATTTTGGACATACATAAATAGCATCTTGCCTCCAAGCTCACAGGACTTCGCATTACCTCATTCATCATTGTAACAGCCCTGCCGTGGAGGAAGGTATTTATTTTCATCAAACACCGACAAAAATCATTTTTAAATGGACATTTAATTGGCCCAATAGTCGTCAGGGCAGGCTGGCCCACAGAAGCCGATGACTGACCGAGCCGGGCCGGCAGAGGGGAGGCGCTGGGGGGTTTGCTGGGGACAGCCCGGGGCTGCTTTCTTTGGGGCGCTCTAGCTGGTTCTTCTGAGTTCTCTGCACAGATGTGGACTTGCAGACAGGCGTGGGGGGCTTCCTGCCCGCCGGATGAACCTGCTCTGTGTTATCACCCATCGGCCTGCTGCCTTTCTTTTGCCCCATGTCCGAAATGTTTAGCTAATGTGGAATCCTGAGTCGAGTGTGGTGGTTTTCAAAGTGGGCTTCCTAGGAACCCCCAGGGAACGTGTGAGAAATGCAACTTCTTGGACTCCCCCACCAGACCTCATGAAATATCCAATAGAAACCCAAGGGAAGAGCTGGGCTGGAAAACCAGCTCTTCTTTAGGCTGCTCCGTTTTACTCTTAGCAGAGATATTAGAGGCTCCCAGAGTGGGTGGGTTCCCACCTGGAAGGGTTCCCACCCTCCCTGGAAGGGTTCCTGGCTGGGCCTGGGAGGGAGGGGCTACTGGGCACAAGCCAGCTGTGCAGGGCACCGGATCCCCACCCCCGAGCCCAAAAGGCAAGGTCAGGCTAAGCCTGTTCCAGCTGCTCAGGATCGCCTATGGCCTTCTGGGCGGACGGTCAGCTGATTGTCTGCTGGAAAGACACAGAGTGTGGCCGGGTTCCAGCAAAGCACTCGGGAGCTCTGGGGATTGAGGCCACTTATCCTGGCCTAAAAGTGACCTGGAAGGAAGAGTCAAACCACGCGAGAGAGCATTGCCTTGTAGCCCTGGATGTTCCCATTCTGGCTTTCCAGTGGTGGTGGGTCCCATGAGACCTCCAGCTGGCTGGCCGTGAGTGGGGTCACCTGGATGTTCTGCGGAGCCATGGCCGGGGCTGAGGAGAGAACAGCACAGGACAGAAGCTGAGGCATCTACTGATACGTGCAGGGCCCCTAAGTCCAGAGGGGACTGCCTGAGAGCCTGCCCAGGCCGTCCAGCTTTTATGCCAGGGAACCCTGCAAAACGTTCCCAGAATCACGTTTAGAGATGCATAAAATACAGTCTGGACAATTACAGAGGAAACTGATTCTATTGAGACACAGTTGGCAGAGTGTTCATAAACAAGGGTCTGATCTGCTCGTCTGCGTGCCTCGGGAGTGGGACATGGGGTGGTGATGCCAGGCTGGGCTAAGGGCTGCTGGGACATCAAGGTGTGACGCGTGCGGGAGGATCTGTGGTTTTAGCACCAACCGGGGCTCGACAGGGGGCGTTTGGGGGCCTGTTGCTGAGTAAGCGGCAGGTCCTGCAGGCCTCGGGGCTGTGTCGCTACGTTAGCAGTGGAGAGAGGCACTGCGTTTTGGATGGAACATGGAGAGACTAAGGCATCCGTGTGCCCATCCCAGAAACCTTATGCTGTGGGGCCCTGTTCCCTGGGGCTGCAGACTCAAGGCTGCCCCCTAATGGGGTCAGGAGCACAGACTGCCCTGCTCCCAGTGCCCCTGCTCCGAGGGCCCTTAAGCCTCCAACACTGAGGATCTGGTCCTCCTGCCCCGAGGGCCACACTGTGACCGGTGAGGTGGGGAGGACACTGAGACCGTCGGCCCCTGGGAAGCTGGGAGAGTGCAGAGAGCACATGCGTACATGCAGAGCCTGTCTCCTTTGCATCCATGAGCTCTGCGCCGTTTCTGAATTCCTTGCGTGATGGGCCACTCTCTGCCCCCCCCGGGAGCTACTCCCTTGTCCTGCCTGCCAGTGCGCTGCCCCAGCGGATCTGTGCTGGGCTGGACCCCGGGGCCCCAGGAACTGTCTGGGGGCCTCGACCTGTGGGCCCAGGAATATTTCCGGAGACGACACAACAGCTGCTGTCCGAGGGCGATGGCCCCGCACACACGCTCTCGGGAGAGAACGACCTTCGAGAGTCACCCCGTTCCCCCCACCCCCATGTGGAATAAAATAGTAATTAATACCCACTCAGCCTGACACTGACTATTTATTTTGTTCTAACTGCGCGGCTCCCGAATTATCGCTGCCCACCCCGCCGTTAATGGAAATGTTAATAACCCACACCAGGTTGTTGTGACAGATGCTCGACCTCATTATCAGAAATTCTTATTTACCGCTCCATTAAACAACAGAATCACACAAAAAAACAATTCAATCAAAACTAACTGGAGGAATTTTAACAGCCACATTAATAATCCAAAACATAAATAAAGTTAATGTCTTTTGCATGTTTGCCATTGGCAACTCTATCGCAAAATTACTGTTGTACAATTAAAACGTGAGAGGCAAAATTGAGCACGGCCATTACCCTGGCAGTGGGTCAGAACCTTCTGTGTGTGGCCCCCTGCCCCCACCCCAGGGTCTCCTTCCCAAAGCCCGGGCTTTCGACTGTTCTCTGGACGTGGAGGTCCACAGAAACGGGGCTCGAGGCAGCTCCCAGAACTCAAGGGCCATGTGCATCTTGGCTGGGGTCGTCACATGCTGGCCAAAACCCACCCACCGTCTTGTGCAGGGGAACCAAGCTGCATGCACTGCTGTCCGCAAGCTGAGCTGCTCTGATGTGCCCACCAGCTCTCCCGCAGCCCAGAGCTTTTGTGCCATAAAAATGCTGCGGGGAACAAGGACTTTTTTGATGACGACATAAGCAGGGAAGAGAGAAATGCGTGTAAACACACAGCGGAGCATGTCAGTTTTGAGGCATTATTTCCTTGGCTCCCGAAAGCATTTGAGTCTCTGTGCCAGCAGGACGACCCGACCTAGGGAGGCTCTGCTATTTACAACCCCAGATACAGGGCTTGTTGGTCGTTGCCGGTGTGCGGGGGGGTGGGGAGGCGCGGATGGAACTCCCGGTGAGCCCTTGCCTTCGTTCTCCCCAATTCGCGCCCGTGCTGTACGGTAAACACAGAAATCAGACCTGGATGCTTTTTTAACATGCATGAAATCAGGGCTAAAGAGCATTTTCGCAGAGCAGTCTCTAGGACATGCTGAGACACAGACTGCCCACAAGCAGCCCCGAGAGCTGGCTTGCCAAGGGGACACCTCGCGTCAGGGCTGACGATCCCGCCGGGCTGCTGGGAGCTGGGCCTCTGGGGGGGTGGGCCCTGCTACCCTGGCCACAGAGGCCACAGAAAGAGCGAGCTCACAGAGGAAGCAACGGAGGAACTTCGGGGCCCTTACAGATTCCTGCACCCGAAGAGTTCTGGAATCTTCTGGGGTTCTGGGTGACTGCATAGGGAGGCCCTGCATGCAAACTCCCCAGAGCAGGAAGGGCAGCGCTCTGTCCACCTCACACGACCACTGGGCCGACGTGCTGCCCCAGAGTAGCCAGCTAGCAGCTGCTACAACCACGTGGCTGTGCCCGGCTCAGTCTTAACTTGCTGGTGAGAGGAGAGCACTGGCTCACGGCCGCCTAATTCTGTGCCCACCAGGTCCTAAGTGGACCTGGTCGCTCCTTAGGCCTGAGCTGTAGACCCTCCCTCGTCAGCATTTAAGAGCTTCTGCTATGAGGTCCGGCCCCTGGACAGGCCCCACCCTGTGCTCTCACCATGGAGAAAAAGAGATGACAGTGTTTGCCTGCTTGAGAGAGTCAGGGAAGGGTTCTATCCTGCAGGAATTAACTGTGCAGACTCACCCACCCATTCAAACTACCCACTGCCTCCGAGGAAGGGTGCCGCGGCCTGTGATATCTCCCTCCCGAGGGGACCACATGTCTCCCCTTCTGACCCCAGTGTAGTCAATGACAGGGGAGCAGTAGGGACATGTGGGCAGGAGTGACCCAGGCCACCTTCCAGCAGAAGCTTCCAGAAGGTCCCTGGCCTTCTGTCTCCCCTTTCCCCACTACCACCTGAGCAGCAGTTCCCCTGCGGGGGCTGACTCCTCAGTCTGTGTCTTGGGGAGAAGACGACAGGGAGCAGGAGAGACACAGCTGGCCAAGGAGAACAGGGAACGTGAGAGAGAAGTGGCCGCTGGTGATTAAGCCGCTAGGACTAGGTGACTGGTTGTCGCCACAGTGTAATGTGCTGACATTTTCCTGAGTATCCCCCAGGCCCCAGGCTAGGCACTGAGGTGGACACAAAATGCAGCGACACGTGTAATAAGAGAGAGAAATCGCAGTAATCATGATAGAGCGTGTAATGGGAGGACAGGTTCAAAGGGCCATGAGAAGTCACTTCTGGCTGGGGGACACAGGGTCTTTCCTGGAAAAGGGTGTTTTTCAATAACGGGGAGGATTCGACATGTGACTATGGGCCAGGGAAGCGAGGGCCACATAAGGGGTGGGAACGGGAAGGGCAACAGGGTAGGGTATCTGCTGGGGTCACATCGGACAGATGGTCATCCAGGTGCTAGTGGCACCTGGGGCCGTGCTGGGCATCTGCCAGTGCTGAACCATGCTAGGCCATGTCAGACCATGCTAGATCATGCTGAGTCATGCTAGGTCATGGTAGGCCATGTTATATCGTGCTAGGTCACACTAGGCCATGCTAGATCATGTCAGATCATGCTAGGCCATGATAGGTCATGCTAGACCGTGTTAGATCATGCTAGGCCTTGCTAGGTCATGTTAGATCATATTAGACCATGCTAGGTCAGGTTAGATCATGTTAGGTTGTACTAGCATTTTAGATTATGCTAGATCATGCTAGGCCATGCTAGATCATATTAGACCATGATAGGCCATGCTAGATCATATTAGGCCATGCTAGGTCATGTTAGATTATGCTAGATTATGCTGGACCATGCTAGGCTATGTTATATTATGCTAGGGCATGTTAGACCATGCTAGATCATGCTAAGTCATGTTAGACCATGTTAGGCCATGCTAGATCACGGTAAGCCATGTTAGACAATGCTAGATCATGTTAGATCATGCTAAATCATGTTAGACTATGCTAGGCCATGCTAGGCTATGCTAGATTTCTTTCACTTTCTGTAACCCAGGGATTTATTATTTGGGTAGAACAATTTTTTAACTGATACCTTGAGGATCACTGTTAACATTTCAATATAACGAGACAGGTATTTGTTTGATATAATAAAAAAATTACACATTCATCAGTTCCCTTTAACTATATCACCATTTTTCTGGCCAAACACGCTCTCTGATTTCCTGTCGAAGCAAACAGGAAATAGAATTCTCTAACGTAGTTTACCTTCTCGGCAAACTCTGCCAATACAATCTGTTCCTCTCGGCCAGGATACCTGGAGACGGACTCCAGCTCTGCGTAATTATCTAACCTCTGGGGCCTTTGCAATAGAGAAAGGAGGCTTAACCAGATCATAGTTCTTCAGCTCAGTGGGGGGCAAGTCAAGACCAGAGACGGAACAATGACTCAGCGCAGGAACGTGGGAAAGGAGCAGAATCTCAAAAGGTGAGCTGAGCCCAGAAACACAAAAGTTTGGTGCACTTCTGGGGCAGGGGCGCAGACCCCAGAAGGAAGACAGGAGAGTCACTGTTGTCACCCAATGTCAAGTCCAATGCCCGGGGCCCTGTAGGAGACCAGGTAGCTGCCAGGGCCGCCCAGAGAAACTCCGGGTCTGTAAACGAGTGCTCAGTTCAACATCGTACTATGATGTTTAAAAAAAGCCTATAACAGAATTCAAAGTGAGGTGATCGTGTTTTATAAATCTGTAATGAACACAAAAGACACGGATCACCCTTTTCTCAAGCGGAAGCCCCTGCTCGCCAGAAGCCTGCAGGGCCTTTTGAAGAGCGAGCTCTCATCTAGTCTGCAGCTGCTGGAATCATGGTGACCCAGCAGTGGGGTGTGACCATGGCGCTGAGGGCGGCGCGGGGTGCATGTGCAAGCCTTTTGTCTGGGTTCGCCTCACCCCCATAACCCCAGGAGGCGGGCTCTCATCGCTGCCTTTCCTGCACGGGAAGACTGAGAAGGG